ACTTAGGTTTTGATTCGAATTGTGGGTTGAGCCACCTGCTTTTTTTCATAGAACACTATTTTTACTTGAAATGAGGACTCAAACCCCTTAGAGTTGGGTAAGCATTTTGTTGAAAGGGAATGAAATAGATTGTTACTTATGGAAAACAATTGGAAGTATTTATGACTAATGAGAAAATTTAAACTTCAAACAAATTAGAGTTTTATGAAATTGTATGATATTCTTATTTACCACTATAGTGAGTTTGACAGCTTCTCAGTGCTTGTAGAAACCGATATTGTTAATAAAGAATGTGAATTTTTTTTGTATTTTATAATGAAATGTGTCAGCATTGTGAGGATCTGCATGATTTTATATTAATATATGCAATGTATGCAGGTAAATATAGAAAGGCATGCTGGATAAGCTCAATGTCAGCAACTAAAATGAGTCCAGGGACTGACTGTGGACCAGACCATCAGTTGCTCACATGTATAATATTTGGCTTGGTCTTCTTGAGCTGCCCTCTGACATTTTCTTTTCAACTCCCTGACTTCATCCTTTCTTCCATTTGCTTTAGCTACTCTACGATTAATAGCAAGTTTCAGTTTCTTCTGACATCCACTTTGATCTTTTCTTTCGTTTCTGTGTTTTTAATGACCCTTTGCTTTCTTCCTAAGTGATGGTCTTTTTTTTTTTTTTAAATGATGGTCTTGATGTCTTCCTACAGCTCATCGGATCTTCTGTCATTTGTGTTTAGTGTGTCAAATCTGTTTTTGAGATGTTCTTGAAATTCAAGTGGAATAATCTCAAGGTCGTGTTTTGGCTACTGAGGACTTGCTTTAATTTTCTTTACCTTTATCCTGAACTTAATCTGAGCAATTGATAACCTGTTCCACAGTGGGCCCCTGGTCTAGTTTTAGCTGCTGATATTGAGCTTCCCACACCATGTCTTCCCCCAACTGTAGTTAATTTAATTTCTGTATATTCCATCTGAGGAAGTCCATGCTGATAGCAAAAGGTATTTGCTATGAACAAGTTGTTGGCCGTGCAAAATTCCATTATGCAATCTCCAGCTTCATTCCTATCACCAAGTCCATATTTTTCAACTACTGCTCCTTGTTCTTTGTTTTCAACTTTCTCATTCCAATAACCAATAATTATCAATACACCTTGATTGCGTGTTTGATCAATTTCC